CAGCGCACCTTAACCAACTGATCCAAAGCCGTACTTGACTTTTTATGTTCGCATATTTTGCTGGAGTTTTTGTTACTTTTGCTATGAAAGTTTTTTATTAACAATTTTACTTGCTGTATTTATATATTTATAACGAAATCATAAACCAGCTATAGAATAATTGAATTAATTAATTAATTATATTTTTTATTTTTAATTGTTAAATTTCAAAACTATTCTATTCGTAGAGGCATTATTTGTTGCATGATTTGTTCTTTCTTATGTATAGAACCTAATCTAGGAACGTAAATTACTTATAAAATAATGCTTCTAAATAAAGAATATATTTACGATAATAAAGTATTATTATTATTATGACTGACATGTTCAAAAATATAAATTCAAGAACTTAGTCTCATCACAAAAGATTTCTAATTATTTCTACCGCGCGCTATAGCTCTTAGTTCATTGAAAGATTTGCCTGACTCTCTGTTGATTGTCGTTCTCCATGTAGTTTTTGGTCGATCGCGATTTCTTCTTCCATTTTAGAATAATAAAGTATAATATAAAATAATATAATTTATGAATTTATTAATGTATAATTTATTTGATATTATAGTTACTAATTCAATTGTATTTATATTTTTTTTAAAGTTAATATTATTAAATAATTTGAGACCATCGCATGCTGATATATTGGCTTTCGACATACAAAGAGGACGAGATCATGGTCTTCAGGGATATGTTAAATATTTAGAAATTTGTGAAAATACCAAGATCACAAGTTGGAAGGACTTGGAGAAATACATTAACAAAGAGGTTTGTAATTTGTCATAGAATTAGGAAGCAAAATAATAATATCTAAATTAATTTTTTTTCATATAGGAAATAGAAAAATTAAAAAGCGTATATAGTGATTGGGCAGATATTGATTTAATTGTTGGTGGCATATCGGAAATACCAAAAACTGGCTCTACTGTTGGAACAACATTTACGTGCATTCTAGGTGAGTTCATAAATAATAATACATGTTGGAATATTTAACATAAAAAAGAAAAAAACTGATTGAGACACTTGTTCCAATGTACGTAAACAAAAAATATCAAAATATTAATAACACGAGTAAACAATTTTTGTTTCTTGTGTTTCTTTTTACATTTAATTATTAACTTGATAAACTTGGTAAATAGAGTGTGTTAGAGACAATGTGTACAGAGCTGTGAGTTATTTCCCAAAATTGTAACAACGGACGGCATTGCCTTTTAGCCCAGTTGTCAGTTGTACCGCAAATGTTATTGTTGTTTCGGTTATGCGGCAATGGCTTGGCAGCAATCCGTGCGTTTTTTTTGTAGCTACTTTTCTTGCATTGCAACTCCACTTCAATAGCGCATTTCGACACTATTAATGGAGATTTTATTGTCGTGTTAATTAATTTAGTTGACTTAATATTAATGCACATACGTTTACTTTTGTAATGTCAGTTTTAATAGTGTATATTTGTAACCGTCAGCAGAATTGTATATATGAAATGCAATTTCTGCAACACACGTACTTGTTTTTGGCTGTAAGTAAACCTTTGAGGTAGATACCAGTATGTAGTGGCCTATTATGATAATCTGTACGCAATGCTTGTTAATGATTCCGCAAATGAACCAAATGAAAAATGTTGGCAATTTCTGCATTTACATTTAATAATAGTTATCATACTTCTTGCACGGCGTTTCATGCGCGTTTTACAACAAAGTGGTTCACATTCCTTTTGACACTTAAATATGTTATGAAGGCCTTCTAAAGACTGGGTTTACTACTCTATGGGGAACGATTTATTACGCAAACGGTTGCAAAAATTATAATTAGCTAGTAACCGATTATTATTTAATTAATTCTGTTCTTAATCAAATACTAATACCCATAATTAATTAGTTGATAAATTTTGATCTGATACTTTCATTTTTCTTTCTATATATAATATAACCAGCTTAATTAATATTTACTTAAAAATGATAAATTTAAAAAAAAATTAATTTAATTGTTTGCATATATAATTGTATGAATAAATTAAATTTTGTATTTTAAAAAGTGAAATATAAAATACAGTTTGACAAACGAATTAACTATGCAGGAAATTAACATGATAAGCAGTGGGAAACGTGTTATATGTACATAACATTTTACGCATATATTTTTGGTTATTTAATTGTCATAATAAGTCACAATGAACTAGTATCAACTTTAAAGGTTTACTTGTACCCAAAAACAAGTACGTATATTGCAGGAATTGCATTTCGTACATAATTTTCATTTGATAAGTGCATTAATATTCAACAAAACCGTCAACGCAATTAATTAATACGACCATAAAAATGGCATTAATGCTCTAGTGTCGAAAGGTGCTATTGAAATGAAGTTGCAATGTATGAAAAGTAGCAATAAAATAAAAAAAAAACTAACTGATTGCTGCTTATCAGCAGTTGGTTTTAAATAATATAATCAATCATAATAATCGGAATATGTTCAAACTATAACTCTACGCCTTATAATAATAAGGAGTAAAGCTCAGTGCAGTTGTACTATTATGCATACAAATCCTTGGGTCAGTTGGCGAATGAACACTGATTCTGACCTTTAAATTTGCAGGGTACGAGTTCAACACTTGGTACTTACAGTCTCAAAAAAATTATTTACGTATAATCAAATATAAGAAATAATTTCAAGACCACTAATGATCAGCCAAAAATTCAATTAAAAATTAAATAATAAAAAATTTTGTTGTAAATCATTACTGTACGAAAGCATCCTAAACTTGATAACAATTAATTCGTCACATTGAAGTCGTACATTTCTTCAAATTTATCATCACTAAGGAGATTTTAAAATCGATCACTCTTATATACATTACAACATTTCATTTTATCTTATGTCGCATAATTTATTTACATATTATGATATATGATAATAAATATATATATTATAACATATATAATATAATATTAACTTCTCATTAATATTTCAACTTGTGTGCTTTCCGCTTGTTAACCAGTTCTGGAACTGCCGGTACTGAATGACTATTTACAATAATAGCAGTATACAAAACATAATAAACTAAATGAATTTGTTCGTTATGTGTATTTATTACAAGTAATTACATATATACGTATATTATTAATAGTGTGCGCTATGCTATATCCAAAAGAGAAAGTATTATCCCAATACTGTTTCAGTTTATTTTAATAAAAACCAGAAACATAGAATCATAGCATATATTGTAATTCCAAAGATATAATGCACTCCAAACGGCTCACTTAAATTAAAAATAAAAATATTTCTTAATTCTTAATCTGAACTCATATTACTTTATTACAACTGAAGATTTATATAAAAATGCGCAATACGTTGTTCTGGTGTTTTTTTTTACTCTGATTACTTAGATCGCTGAGTGCTCATATCTTCCATATGTGCTCTACTAAGTTCTTATATATTCTAACTAAATTCTATATTCTTTTATGTTTCTTTCTAATATGTATTTATCATCGAACTTTTTAAATTCTAATTTGTTTATTGCGCTATTTAGACATATTTAAATAATATTTAATAAATTTGATTTTTGTTTCTTTATATCATAAAACTTCAATTATGTATAATTCAAAAAAATGATTTCTTAAAAACATGTGTAAAATGTGCACTACTTATTACGTCCAAACATAGCCTATAGTGTTTTTCTTCAGTTCAAAAATATTCCATTGTTCGGAGTCGTATCAAAACATAGCCTATAGTGTTTTTTTTCCAGTTCAAAATATTCCATACTTGTACGGAATCGTATCAAAAATGATCCGGTAATTTTCGACTATATATATATATAGAGTTAGATAGATATTATAACATAAATATATGAATAAAGAGGTTTTGAGGTTGTTCTTCTTTTGCTTTATTAATTCAATATCTTTAAGTTATACAAATAAATAGTTTATGATAAAACTTTATAACTACACTTCATTTTACAATTTTTAATAATATCGTTAATTTTTTTTACACATTCCAGCTGAACAACTTTCGAAAATTCGTCAATCACAAAAAGATTTCGAAATCAATAAATCCCCAGATTTCAAGAAATACGAGACGATGAACGCAGCCGAACTATTGTGTGCCAATTCAGATTTAGAAGTGGTGCAAGAAAATATATTTCAATTAAAGTCAGAAAAGTAAGTACAATGACAATTGTATCTAAAAGTGTTTATTATTGAATAATATTTTGGGTAAACATGAGTCGATTAATGACTCATAATGAAGCGCAAACAATGATATTGGCTCTATTTATTGCACACTTTTGTACTTTAAACCCCGCATAAGCCAATGAATAAAAATATATATATATTTATTTATACAAACAAAAGCCAATTTATCTTTTGGTAATTCTAGACAATTAATCAAATTAATTTGATAAAAAGATAACATTAAAAATAAATGTTTTGTTCATATTGTTGTGATTTAATTGTTAATTGTTAAAAACTTTTGAAATCTTATTTCAGAAATGTGGTAATATCATGCGATCGACGATTCCATGCTTTATAAATGTAGTAGAAGGGGACTTCAGATTGGAAAAAACATTTTAAACAATTTAAATTGATTTATTTTAAAAGATTTTTATGTAAATTATTTTGTAATTAATAAAGGATATAAAATTTTATATTTTCGTACAGATTTGAATGTTTCACAATTTCATTTTAAATTTATATAAACAGATTTATTTTATGTTTCAAATATATATTTTAAAATATATTTGTATATATCAGAGCTACTTAATTTTAAGGAAAACTTAAACATTACATTATTTGCTTATTTTCCTATTAAAAATTCAATAAATAAATGAGAGCGATTTAGTAAGCATTAAATCGTTATAATTAAAACCAAAATTAAGTGCATTAAACACAAATTACAAATAAAAAATAAAATAAAATATATTAATTAAGTATATATGTAATTTTGTAAGATCATGTGCATTATATTTTAAACTCCGCAAGGCCAAATTTAAAAAAGTTGATTGTACCAGTTTTTGACTACTTACATATATGCTGGTACTGCTTCAATTTATTTTAAATTATCATTTGCATGAGATACTTAAAATGTGAATATGTATCTATTTTTAAAAGATAAGAAAGAGTATTAATAATAGTCTTTTTACTAAAAACATAAAAACAACTTGAGCAAAGATCAATTATTGAAAGCTTTCAATATTGTTTTAAATATTGTATTATGTAAGAAACGGTATTCTATTTGTGATAGATATATATTGATAATTTAACTAGACTACCGACATTATAGCAAATAATAATGAGCTGCCAAGACAGGTTTCAATATATATATATAAATATAGATACGCTGACCAAATAGTGTAAGAAAAAATTAAAGTAAATGACTTAGAATATCGTTTAATTTCAGTAATAATTAATAATAATATAGTATGAACTTCATTTTTATAATCTACCTTCTATTGATTAGTTCTACATATTAGTAGTCAATCAATATCGTACCTAAATTATACCTTTAAATGAAAACCGTTAATGGGTTTTTAACTATATGTGTAAATACCTTTCAACTAATAATAAAATTGTCAACTTTTACACTACAAATTATTCTAGTTAAATCTAGAATTAACATTTAATACATATCCATAAAGTGTTAATATAAAAACAATTATTAAATGACAACAAAAGAATTTTTAAAAAAATTATTGAAATAGATCCGACCATATCTCGATATTTTGCAAGACTTTTAAGTTAGTCTCTGAGATTATAATAGCATAGGTTTTTTTTTTTTTTAAAGAAGTGAAAGTCAACTGTACTTTGCATGAAAAGTTGAAACTATGGGACTAGCAATAGGACGCAGTTATGAAAGATGCATACTTATGAGGTCATTCATGTATCACCGCTTTCGATGTATTTATTAAAGTTAACAAAATTTTGCAATTACATTTCATTTGATATTTAGTTTGGTGATCATTTTTTATATAATATTCGAAACGACTATTATTTTATTCTTAGATATTAAATATTAACTTGATCGCGTAAAGGGAATGCAAAGTGACCAGAATTGGCCAATAATGAATATTACATATCAGAAATCTAATATATAGAAAATTAGACTATTGAAAGTAAACGAAGTAAATTTAATTAAGTCAATTTAATTAAGTAAATTTAATTAAGTAAATTTAATTAAGTTTTATATGATGCTTTATTATAATAGAAAATATGAAACTGCTGTAAAAATGTACCTAAAAAATTTTACAAAGCTTACGGTGAGGATGTTGTGGTTGAACGCCGGACCCAGGATTAGTTTGCTCGATTCCGATCGATTTGGTGGGTTTGTAAGAGAATTGTCTATTACGATCTGCTGCAGTCTAGTACAATAGATAATACGGTATTCTATTGCTTAAAACTCGATATCGTAAAGAGAATGCAAAGTGACTAGTTCCATCATGACAATACCAAGGCACATACATCTTTCATGTCTCGGAACAAATTAACGAAACTTGGTTTGGAAGTTTTGATAATTTCATGAAAAAAGTAAGAAAAGAAAAGAAAAAAGTAAAAAGGAAAATGAATTTAAAATTGGTGAAATCGAAACAAAATATTTCATTGTTAATAGGAAAAAATGACGATTTCAACACCATATGACTACTTCAATAAAAGATAATTTTTAAATTTTGATATATAAATTAGCTAATTTAGGCACACTTTCACCGCTGCGTATTTTTCAATTTTCCCTCTCCCCTTATCGATAACCTTTTTGGCTTTCAAAACTACGACTGCTAATCAATAATCTCTTTAAAAAAATCATCTAAGTTAAAGGTTTTTCGACGATATGTACATAACATAGAAAATTTGTGGGCTAAAGACTTGATAGTAGTTATAAAGAACGATTAGAATTGACTGATTATTGTGTGGAAAGTTTAGTGTGACATTTTAGCTGTTGCGACAATCATGTGAATAATGCATTATCTTTTTATTTCAAATGTATTACAATACATATTAAAATGTTTAAACACAAATATTTTTTTGAAGTGCTTTTTGAATGTTTATGTAGTTTATATCAAGAAGATGTAGTAAGTTCGCAGTTATTTATTATACTCGTATATTTGAGAGTTTGGAATTAGTCTCTTTATATATTAACAGTTTGATTAATTTCCGCATGCCAACGTTATTAATGGTTTATAACAAATTTTAGCTTTTTATGTTCTATATTTTACAATCGATAAAAAAAATCAACTGTAGTGACCGGTGACCACATCACAAGAAAATGCGATGACCTGTGCAAGAGAAAGAGAAAGAGAAAGAACGGGGTACTAGCTCCCATTTGAGCAGAGCACTGCGCCCATGATGATCTGTGTAACTATGGATACAAATTGCAAACATAATATCTAAAAGTGCATAATGTTATGAGTACTACGGCGATTCTTAAAATTAGAAAATTTTTATATTATTTCGTTTTTACCTACTATTTACTTACGTTGCAGATATTGAGTCATCCTAGGCTGCGTCCATTATGTTCTCTAATGAACACAATCAGTGGCTTGCTGTTGTTAGTTGGTAGGGTAGAGTGCTTTTATATCATTAGTTACATGTTTTTCCACCAGAGATGCGGACGACCTTTACTACGTTTTCTACCAGCAGATACCGAATCAAAGAGCTTTCTAGTCTGTGCTGTATCATTCATTCATTTGACGTAACCAAACCAACAAAGCTGTTGAATTTGAATGTCCCGGTATAGTTCATACAGAACCTCGGTGCAACTTAATCAATATTCATTACCAATGCGTGCGGAGCCAAAGAAAAAAAAATAATATTTTTGAGATAATTTTTAAATATTTAGTGTAATACGTGAACTAAAAATTAGATCTGAAGTAAAATAAAATAAAAATAAATGGGATACTGGTTCCAACAAAGCCGAAAACTGCGACCATTTTTATTTTGCATGCCACTAATTGACACTATTTGAACTGAAGATACGCATTTTCTCTTTCGAATGAAGCCCAAAATTTCAGCTGTTGAGTATATCTTAATATCAGAATGCGAGTAAGAGTTTCCTCCCCAGTTTTCTTCTCCTCGCGAAGTTCAAAGGCCAACAGGCAAAGAATGTTATAATAGTTCTAATCCGTTTTCAAGCAGAATCTACGTTTTGTCTCCTCAGACAGACTCATCTTATTATCTTACGTGTTAACTCGGTAGACTTTGACAATATTTTTTCTGGCACTCTCACATTTGTGTTTATACATATAAATTTCTGTTTAAAGACAAAATTCGAATATAGTACATATTTGCATTCGAATATAAAAATTTTGTCAAAGTAAGAATAATATAGATTTCGAGTTAAGATGACAACGCATATCTATGACGAACCGTTGAAGAATCTGCTAACAAATAAGATAAAGTTTCTTACTTAAAACTAAATATTTCTTAGTAATTAAATTGTGTAGAAAATAATAAATGTGATTAAATTTATTTAATTAAATATTAACCTTAAAGTATTATTTTATGGACTACTAAAAACTGCAAATATTTACTAAAAAATTGCTATTTCAAAATATATGAAAAATATATACATACATATATGTATAAAGAAAAGTTTATTGCTTTGATAATTTAAAATAGTTGCCTTTAATTAATTGTGGTAACATATGTATGTAAATAAATATTTATTTAATGTGTTATCAGAATAAGATATAAATATATACGGAAAGAATTTTATTTGCCATAAGTTTGTCAGACACTTGAAAATGTGTGATTTTTCTAGCATTTTTTTTTGGGTTTGTCTTACTTAATTAATTGAAAAATAACAATTATTAATAATTTTTTTAACAGTTTCAGTTTGAACTCAGAAATAGTACAATAACTTTTCTTAACAATAAGATATTAATCGTATTATGTATAAGTAAAATTAATAACAGTGTTAAGTTTATATATTTTATAAACTAACAAATCATAGCTTTTTAATACATGTAAGTAAATATTTAATGATATATGTATTTAGTTTTTATTAACAACAGTTTTTAAAATAAATGAATCTAGAAGGAAATAAAACCGGAAGAAACGTTCTTAAATTAAACTCTAAATAACTTAATATAAATAAAAAAAATTTTATTATTATTATTATTTATTATTATTTTATTATTATTTATATGTATTTAGTTTTTATTAACAACAGTTTTTAAAATATTAGAATCTAGATGAAAATAAAACCGGAAAAAATGTTCTTAAATTAAATTCTAAATAACTTAATATAAATTTAAAAAAAATTATTATTATTATTTATTATTATTTTATTATTATTTATATGTATTTAGTTCTTATTAACAACAGTTCTTATAATAAATGAATCCAGAAGCAAATAAAAACGGAATAAAATGCTCTTGAATTAACTTAACATAAATAAAAAAAATTTTATTGGCAGTTTAGATAGGAAATTGTAACTCAAAAATATGTGTATTAAATTAACAACTGAAAATAATAAAACAAAAAACAATTTATCAATAAAAAAATACTATAATTAACACATTTAAGGTCACTAATCTGATAAACAATTCATAAAATCATATCCATATAGTTTTTTTTATTACATGAAAACTGCTCTTTACTTCAGTGTTTACCTCAAAACTGGGTTATTTTTTTTATTAGTTTTGTTTATTCATGTTAGTTAGTAAATTCGTTTTTTATTAATCTTTTGTTAAATTTCATGGAATATGCCAAATATGTTGTAATGTTTTTGTTTAGAGTCATTGTAAGTAAAATTTTACACGACACCATCTGCAGTTAATGAAAAAACTCGAAATTATGAACAATTAAAATGAGTTAAATTATTATATACTAATACTCACTCGTATATATATATATCTGAACGTGTATCTGAATGTGTTGGAGGTATCTGTATATGCAAATATATTAAAGGTTAAAATTATTTGAAATCATGCAAGCCTTAATCTTACGAAATGTGGGTGTATTTATAATTTACATAAGGCACAATAGTTGAGTATTATTCTTCGTTTACCACAAAATTCACGGTAATTATTAATAAAACGTGAAAGTCATTAATTTAAAACACCAAAAAATATTCAATTTATATTTTTAGCAATTTAACAACATAAACAAATTTTTGTCTATTTTTTTTTCTTTATTGAAAGAGATTAAAGATAAAACGAAATATTGAACATTTATTTACATTAAAAGATACTTTCGATTTTTGATAAGAAATTGTATTTTATATATTTAACTACGTTTTCATTTCTAAAACTTTAACACGAGTAATCTCTATGGCATTTCCTTGGCATAAACAATAAATTGTAAAAGCTCTAATAATATAATATTTAAAGTATAATTGCTTTCTTTTCTATTGCAGTATGGTGGAAATAAAATTCGTAATATAGATATCAAAAAGTTGCATCAAATGTTATCAAAATTCAAAACTGTGACCATCGCTATTTTTTACTTAAAATACACTTATTCGTAAACTGATTCAGATAAGATTAGATATTTGCGAATGTATTGAAGCTGTCAATACACAAAAATATGAAGCCGCGAATAATAAACAAGAGCAGTAAGACTTTTTTTGATACACTCTACTTGTTCTGGAGGTATATTTAACAAGAAAGTCAGCTAAAATTGCAAAGAGAAAATTTTAAAATGTCTAATTTAATCGATATAGCGAACGATGTTGAGTATTTTTGTTTATTTGTTAATATAATTAAAATTAATAAAGAGGTTTTTTCGAAAAATAGTAAACTACAACAACAAAAATTCTTTCATATATTATTTTAATTAATTGAATTTGACCAAACAGCTGCTTCAAGTATTGCCAAATACCCATCATTAGTGGTCTTGAAAATAGTTCTTGTATATAATTATTCGTAAATAATTTTTTTAAAACCCTGCCAAATTTGAAACTCAGAGCCAGTGTTCATTAGCCAACTGACCCAAAGCCGTACTTGACTTTTATATTGGCACATTTTTCTGGAGTTTTGTTAATTTGCTGTGAAAGTTTGAAACTCAGAGCCAGTGTTCATTAGCCAACTGACCCAAAGCCGTACTTGACTTTTATATTAACACATTTTTCTGGAGTTTTGTTAATTTGCTGTGAAAGTTTTTAATGACTAATCCAGTTGCTGAGTTATATTAGAACAAAATCCTAAAACCAGCTGTAGAATAATTGAATTAATTAATTATATATTATTTTTAATTGTTAAATTTCAATACTATTCTGTTGGTACAGGCATTATTTGTTGCATGCTTTTATATTATATTATATATTATTATATTATGAAATATTATTCTATGACCTACTCTAGGAACGTAATACCGAGAAAGTCATGCTATTGTTACTCCACGATTCGCACGAGTGAGATCATATATTTTTGGAATATAAGTTGTAACTTAACGCCATTTTTAAGACGAAAGTAAAATTAATAACAATATTTTTTTGATATGATAAGTGTAACAATTATTATCGGACGTTCCACCATCGTATTGGATTCCAATTTTGTATATCGCATGTATACGCGTACTGGAACACGTCCTGAATTCAACAAGTTAAGTGTTTTCTGTGACTAATGTCCTCAATTTTCCTTGGAAAATAATAAGCACCTCAGTTGAACTTATTAAAATAAATGATTTTAGTGTTTTCCACTGTAAATAATTTGTGCACAATAATCAGCGATCTTGATTTTCTCCCGGAAAAAATGGGCACATTTATCAAACTAAGTTTTTGAAGTATTTCCTAGTATATCTATAAAAAATTAATTATATCAATGTTTTCTATAATAGCTAATTTTTTGGATAACAATCGATGTTCTTGGTTTTCTCACGCAAAGAATGGTCCTAAGACTTAAAATACGTCTTTCAATTATTTATGAATAAATAAATAAAGAAAAATCCTGGAACCAAAAAATTTTAGTAATTTTTTCCACAAATAATTTATCAACAGTAATCAATGCTCTTAATTTATCATGAAAAGAATGAGCACCCTAGTTAAACCAAGTTTTATAAATACATATATAAAATGTATTTTAACCAAGTCTCTATATAGAGAATTGTATTAGAACCAACACTTTAATCATTCCTATTATACAACATTTGTGGAGAGCAATCCTTTTTTTTTTGGTTTGCAGTAGCTACAGTGTAAGACTTGAATCCGTTAAAACCACCTCTTAGGAAGAGGTGAAGATTTCTACAGCAATGTGGAAACTTTATTCCAATAATTAGAGAAGAGAGATAAGACCAGATCAACTTAATATCTAGTGGTCTAGGTTCATCTAAGCCAGAAAGCATGGGCATGAATTAGGGAGAATGAAAGATATTGAAGGAGGTGGTGTTACGGCTAGAAAACGGAGGTGAGATTAACTTTGTGACCAGGATCACGAAAACGGTTATTGAGGTGGGTAACGTGGACTGGACAGCAATGTCCTTGATTTTCTGGTGAAAGAAGAGGTCACCTCGGCTGAGTGATGAATTAGTTCCGATTTAGTTAACATAAATACAGATCAGTTATAGTACATAGATTAAAGTTATCTATCAGAAAGAAATTAATTTTATTAATTTTTTTTTAAATAATTCTAAGTTTTACCTATAAAGTGACTATTTTTGACTATTTTTAAAGAAGATACCATACATTTCAATATTAGAAATTTATTTTATTTACATAAAAAATGAAATATTTTTACCACAACGAATATTAATTTTTTCATAAATATTTACTCAAATTTGTAGCTATAGACAATGGTTTTGATAAGCGCTTCTGTGTATAATTTTTTTAATGCTTTTTTTGCAATTATGATAAGATTTTACCTGTGACTATTTCTGTGTAATGAGTTAATATTAATTTTCTACTGCGGACAGTTCGATTTCTCTTTTCAGTCAATAAAGAATAAATTCTTCATTAAATTTTTGTATTTGAAGGTATTTTGTTTAATAATTAAAGATCATGTCAAGTACATAAAGATTATTAGAAGTATAAAACTTTAACACAAAGATAATAATAATATTAATGTTTAAAAATAAATAAATGCGTTTTTTATGATTTTTATTTTCAATAAAATATAAATGAATTTTCTTTATATAATCGGAAAATATTCAAATGTTCAATGGTTTAATGGTTCAATGGCGTGAATATTACTTAATTGTAAAAGAATTTGAAAAGAATTTGATAACGAGAAATCGCCGTAATATTTTGTTTTTATGTATGTGACTATGTGGGTTTTAAAAAAATAATTGTACGCAAATACTTTACGATATTGAAACATAACATCAACCAGAGTTCTTTATCTAATCTGTAAAGATATAAAAATAATATTAAAATCATATTTTCATTTAACTAAAAATTTAATCGGAAATTGCTTTTCTACCGAAAGAGTTTGGTTTTTTTGCAAAGCTTTTAGTTTTTAGGCAAATGTGAAATATTTAATTGTAATTCTTCACTGATATAATATAGATATTTTCTTGTGATTGTTAGAAACGAAATTACTTACTGTGCCTTCTTTACAATGCCACAAAATGGTTATGATAAAAATTTACCAAATGGTCATATCGATTCAAAGCCCACCTATGCTTTGCTACATATGGCCAGCTTTAAAGTGAAAAGTGAAAGTGAAGTGCGTAATCCTAAGGAGAAGTTGAAAGCACTTGTTGAATTGGATAAAAATGGTGGCATTTGGCCACACAAGATGTATATGTGCTTCAGTGGTCAATGGTTGGTAATGTTGGATAGTGATATGAAGGAAATTGAGAACTTTCCAGGTTCTTTGATTACCGAACCGACAGCGTTTATTAGTGAAGATCCATTGGAAACTTTTAGTAATTTGTTAATATTTACTGTACCGGGAGTTTCACTGGGCACTACAGAAATGCATATATTTCAGGTAAAAATATTTTGTTTAATTCATTAACTACATTAACTAATTCCACTGAGTGATATGTAGGTTGCTGATGTCTCTGCAGTGCTTTTAGTTGAAGATTTAAAACAATTAAGTAGCGGTAAGGTCATTACCGTTGATCGCAATAACACGCCAATAAAGTTACCGAAACCGGAACGACCTGTACATAATACAAAAGATCAGTATGGTATTGCAGTTGCAGCTGCGGGTGTGGCTGCGGAAAAAAATGCACATGATCGGGAGCAAACGTTGCGTGATACGCAGGTGTTAAATCATTGTTTCGAAGATATTGAACGATTTGTCGCACGATTGCAGTACGCTGCAGAGGCCTTACGGGAATTGGAATTACATCAAAATGAACACAATCCGCATGGAGAAGGTTTACTTATGGTGCGTTCACGCCCACCATTTGAAAAGGAATTTCAAGATATTTTCGCAAAACATAAATTGGGCTTCAATTATGTAGTGAAGCTACAAAATCATTTTAGTAACGCTGCAGAACCTATAAAAAATATGTTTGTGTCCTTGCACACTATTGTTTCGGTATGCAATAATGTTTACGCTGATGCTATGATACCAGAAAATGTAGTCAATCCTTTGTTAAAGCGAGAAACTGTTAATTTTCTTAGTTCATGTTTGAGCGTAAAAGAGATTGAGTTTTGGCAATCTTTAGGACCCAATTGGAATTTGCCAAAAGATCAGTTCAAAGATCACAAGAGTTCATATCATCCAATATTCTATGATGACTGGTCACCTGATTGGGTTGTTGATGAAGAAGTGCCATATTTACCACCAGCAATGAAAAAAAGTGCACCCTCTCCAATATTAAGTAAGAATGCTACATGGTTAACACGCCTCAAGAGTAGGAATGTAAAAATCGCAGAAGTTCTTTATGATAAAACTGGACATAATGATAAAGAATTGAATGTAATTGCTGGAGAATATCTTGAGGTGCTTATTTTTATATAATTATTATGTTTTTATATATCAAATTAAAAAAAAATAAAAATAATTGTATCATAATAGATAATAGATGATTCACGTAACTGGTGGAAAGCACGTAATGCGGCTGGAAGTATTGGCTATGTGCCGCATACAATTTTAATTCCGCATAATTTTGAAGAACAAACCAATTATATGGGTAGAGATACAGATTCATTATCGTCTTCAGTTTTTGAGAATGGTAAATATATAAACAATAACAAATAATGCAAGTAAGCATTACTTATTTATTATTTAGAACACAACAATCACAACATATATCGCAATACTCTGAGCGTGCCAGCGGCTGAGCGATCGCAAACAGATGTAGCAAACAGATCGTCTGGTATGCCACGTTCCTATAGTATGCCCAATGTACCTGTACCACCACCAATGCCACCACCAAGCGACAGTGAACCAACAACACCAACAGATACATTAAAAAGAAATATGGCTGCTGCAGGAACATTAGCGGGTAAGCTTTGCATCTCTTACCATTTAAAAGCTAAAATATGACATTCTAGTCCATAATCAAATTTAAGAAAATGTGTATTGCTATTATTGGCTTGATTCAGATTCATAGGACAACTTGATTAGACAATTTAGAGATAGTCAGTTTAAGGAATTTTTTCCACTAATTTATATGCCGGTAAAGCTACTTTTCGAGGTAACGAACTTACAACTTTAAAGTTGTACATTTTTTTACTACGTTATCTAGGGCTAACTACTATAAGTAATTTTTCCACACATTATTATTATTTAATGTAGAAATTTTTTAACAGCCCGAATATCACAAGAACGGAGCCCTATTGTCATATAGTCTAATGGAAAGAGTTTCTAGAAGTAATAGTTTTTATTCAAATTTGTTGTTAAATGTGCGTACCAGGAAATCGGAACTGTGCCATATTATAAAACTTTTTTATTAAAATTTATTTTATTAAAAAATGATTTTATAGACAAATTAAAAGATAAAATTTTTTGTTAATAATATCTATTATATAATTGTTAAATTATAAAAATTTTATTTTATTTTATAAATTTAAGCAATGCGTGCTCGGAATGAAACCAATGATGAGGCTTTAATGCTGCAAAACGAAATGAATGATGAACTGAAATATACGTTACAGCAACGGGAGCGTCGTAGGGACTTGGAAATTCTAAAAACTCCACAGATTTACCTTGATCAAAATTCCAAACCAAATGAAGTGGAGAATTGGCTACGTGGTAAAGGTTTCTCTGATGTGATTGTTGCCAAATTACGTATTCTAAATGGTGAAGAACTGTTTGCTTTGCCTCCTCATGTGATCGAAGGTTATTTTGGTCAGAAAGAGAGCCGACGTTTGATCTCACAAATTGTTTTGCAAAAAAATATTTCAGAGGTAATTATAATATTTTATTTAAATATTTATTTTATTATTTAATACATTTGTTTTTGTTTAAGTATAAAACAATTCGATCATCAGAGTTGTCGGCAAAATTAGCTAAAGCCAGGCAAAAAGCCGATACAAATGGCAACGACCCCAATGAGATATTTTAAATTAGTATTTTTTTTCGTATATATGTATATATCTATTGTATTCAATTTTAAATACATAAAAATAATATTTATTTTACTGTTGTATTTTATTATTGTGGCCAATTTAACCAAAGCTAATTTTTAATTTTATTCATAAACTTAATTATTATTTAAAATAAAGTGTAACTTTATTAGAATATAAGTATGTGTATGCATACAATCTAATAAAAAATAAAAATTAAATTAAATAATGAACGAATATTTTTCATTTTGTTCTCATTTAACTATTAAAATCCAAAATATTTTTTACAGCAAAAATTAATATCTAATAAAACTGGTTTATTGTATATAAAATTAATTTTAAGAATTTTTATTAAACTACAGTACTTTTAAAAATACTGTATAAAATACAGATCATGATATGATATATGGACTATTAAAATTATATTTATTTTATATACATTACATTATATACATTATGAACGCAATAACAATTTAAGTGTATTTTTGTATTAATTTATGAACTTATATTTTATATAGTTAGTAAGTATATTGTTCGTATTTACATGTACTAACCACAGAGTAAATATATACTTATTCTTTGTCGCAGCACTAATTCTTATAATGACTTGGGTATGTAGTAGATGTGCATATATATAGGTATGTATATTAAGTGTAAAATACCGAATTAAGCCTTTAAAACTTGACTTTTGACTTTGAGTTTTGAGTTAATTTTTATATTTGTATGATCCAATATAACAAAAAATGAAAATATTAAGATGATCAAGATTATTGAGATAAATGAAGTAATAGTTTGCGTTAGGAACCCAATACTAAGTTTGATCGTTCAGCATTTATTACATCTCTTCAAGACATTTAACATATACATTATTTGAATCGAAGTCTTTTGTTACATATTTATGGATACTATTCAACGGTCACTGATAAATGTTAATGGCACGTTTAAGTATACTAAGTTAATCTACTACGTTTCCAATTATGGTATTTAATTTACAAATATAGGAATTTATTGGTAGCAGAAGTAAAGAAGTATCGTTTTATGATGTTGTAGGTTCTAGTAACCAATTTAAAATCATTTGCAAAAGACATGTTAGAAAAAAAAAACTGAATGTTTGAGTGCCTCATAAACTGGCTGAACATTTAATAGATTGGTTGTATAAGAGTATAGACGTTGTATGGGTTTATGACGTTGTAGGTTCTAGTAACCAATTTAAAATCATTTGCAAAAGATAGTTTAGAAAAAGAAACTGGATATTTGAGTGCCTCATAAACTAGCTGAACATTTAATAGATTTGTTGTATAGGAGTACAGAAGTTGTATGTCTTATTTAACTACTGTCTTATTTAAAATTTATTTGCAAAAGATATATTAGAAAAATAAACTGAATAATTGGGTGGCTCGTAAATTGAGTAAACAGATTATTATTTTTATTTCCTTGGTGTATTTACAATGTATTTATTATTATTATTACAATGTATTTATGTATTATAATTTAAGTAAAGACATCGCTCTTAGTAAGAGCATAGGGCGAAGAGTAAACAGATTGGTTTCCTTAAGCGAATCTCTTTTAGTATATAAAAAAAAATCTGAGCCAATTTTTAAATACACGGTAACAATTATAATGATGGGACAATTACAACGAAAATGTTATATGCTTTTTTTGAAAAAAAAAATAATAAGTAAGTTGTGAAAAATCCGGTATTACTAACAAAAAATGCTGAGTACTTATTGGGAATACAAGACTATCTTTCATTTTGACAAGCATTACTTCATCAGATCTATTTATATAAAATCTCCAATGTAGTAAATTCTCAGAAATAGTTTCGATTATTGTATTCTGAACTTAGTATATTTGAAAAAATAACCTATCGGACAAAAATGGGCTGTGAGAAAAACTCTGGACCAATTTTTCAGTCATAATATTGACATAAGTCATGCTTAAATCATTTATTTCGCTGTTTTAATTCATACTTAAGTCCATTTTAGAGGTAAGTTACATCCAGTTTTAGTTAATTATAAAATACTCATTTATATGATATTTATATGAATTTAATATAGTATTTAAAAGTATTTGAAAATTTTTAATTTTTTTTTGTAATTTTCAGCAATTTTTTTTAAAAACTCTCTTTTGATCAAAATTTCTGTAAAACTTTTTTTTGTGATTTTTTGTATATCAGTACGTTATTACCTTGCAAACGAATTTTGTATCTATCACGCGCTGTTTTGTTTTATTCAGCCTTTGAAGTGAGGTACCTACCGTTTTTTTATTGACAAAAACGGGCACATGAGTATCAATAATTAAATTTGTGTTACTTCTAAAATTTTTATATTTAATTTTAATGAATAATAAATAATCAGATTTATTATATATAAATTGGAAATATATTAACTATATTATTATAGCAAAAATAAACAAACAATTAGGGTTTTGATGTAGAACATAAGCCACAGAGCTAAACCATAAATTAATTACAAAGAGCATTGATCTTATATTTAAGTGGATTCGGTGCTTTATTTTAATTAAATATTTTTTTTTGGTTAATAAACAAATATTTAAATAAAATCAGGTTATACAAGATGCAATGGTGAAGACTAATATTTGAACGCGCGAAATGAACAAATTTTTACGTTAATAGAAGTAAAAAATAATTTTGTAAATAATCAAAAAATAATTTTAATTAATATTTAAATTAATACCATTTGTTTGATAGAACCTTTATTGAGAAAATTTTCCATAATTGTTGAAAATTAGAAAAATCGTACAAATTCTATGCAGTCATTTGAAGTATAAATAATTAATAATGTAGAATAAATTTAATTATTTACTTGCGTAGTTAATTTAATTCATAAAATTGTTTACCCTTGACCGAGTTGGTTAAGTCACACTTTTGATAGTCACAATTTACATCCAGTCTAGACCTTCTCTTACAATTATTCTTACCTCAGCACTAAATAATGCGATTACAACTGCGATGTGGTCGTATTGACTGGTCATTAATTAAGAGTTCGGCGATTCTTAAAAACTCCTAAAATGGTTAAAATATGTTTGAATGACAAAATAAAATATCTTCAGTCAAAAAAGTATATTTGAAAAAAAGTAGTACTATCTATAATAATACTTTTTTAAGTGATTGACGGAATCGTAACTTTTCATTGCATTTATGAAAAATAATGAATAAAAAGTAAATACAAGCGTAGACTAACAATTTTTAAATTACAGCAGTGCAATAATGTAACTAAGTATTTTGTCTGTAGTTTTTCTAACACCACTTGAATTTACAACATCTAGAAAGACAACATTTTTAAGGAGTGCATTGGTTACGGACAGATTTGTGTGTCTGTCGCTGGCAGATTAACAACAACAGCAACAGCATCTCAAAATGAGGCAAGACTTACCAGATACGCTTTTGGTTTTTATTTTCATTTGTTGAACATATTGTATTTATATGAAAGTAATTGTGTAATACAGCATTTGTAATGAGATTTTTAGAGCTGAACAACTTATTGCATACAAATGTATATGGTAAAGCTGATACATGTTAATCCTGTCTATTTTAGTCCTGTAATTGCAGACATCTTACGTCAAACCTTAACGCTAAAGCGGGTTTAACGAAATGTATGATTCCTGATTCCCGGAAATTGTAATTAAAAATTTGATACTGTTTCAAAATAAGACTTATTTAGATTTATGTAAAATTTTGTAACAGTCTATAATATCTCTAATATAATAATTTATGCAATCGATGTCTGACTGAAATCTATTCTATTCGAATTCTTCAAATAGGTTAGGAATTAATGTTCTACATATAACTTTTATACGAGTTCATGTAGAATTTGAAATGTGCAATCTGATTTATTGCAGTTTTCAAAGCTGTAAATGACAAATGTTGACTGATTTATTTTTTGTAAAAAAATTCGCTTAAATTATTTTTTAATGTTTACAAAAAACGGCATTGAAATGCTTAAGAAAATGTTTTTTTTATTTTTAAATTTAACGCTCAAATTATTTTCTGTTCTAGTACAAAATAATTTTTAGTTTAGTTGAAGTTGAAGTTTGAAGTTATAGTTTTGAATTAGTTCCAAATTAGACAAAAATTTTTATATTAAATTTGTAAAATTTGTAATATAATTTATAGAAGATCACATATGTGAAAAGAAAAAAATATGAAGTTCTCTACTAATACTATTGTTTTTAGCAATATTCAGGTTCGTAAAAGCCTTTAACAACCTAAATCATAAATTGAAATAAATGAACTCGCAATTATGTCAATCTATAATTCTAATTGCTATTTGAGAACCACTAACAATTATAGACAATATGATATATAAGTTAATGCTCGTAGTCTTCCAAATCCGGCCCCTAATAGATACAATAATTCTTCAAGAAATCATGTATTTTAATTTTGTTTTATAAACAAAAAAATCTTCTAATCGTCTTCTAAATTGATCGGTGAATTATATTTTTTTCATATTATTATTGAGACATATTAACAAAAAATATTTCTTTAAAAAAATATTAGTACAGTAATATTAAAGTATTATATATATTATATTAGTATTAATAGTATTAAAGCGTATATCATATTTATGGTTTTTATAAACAAACTCCATCTATTTAATCCTCTAATATTTGCTATAGTTTGGTTAGATATCTTTGTTGAAACATTATTATTGTTTAATTATTTTTAAAACGAGTCAATTTTTCAATTATATAGAACGAAGTTAATTACTATTTTAAAACGTTTATTGATTTATGTATGTAATTAAAAAATTATGCAAATTAAAATAAAATTCAGTTGCCTACATAACATAGGTGTATAAATGCTTAATTGCAATTAATAACTGAAGGTTTTGGTTGTTGAAAAGAAAAATTTCTTATATTTTAAATGGAAGCTAGAAAAGCTAACTAATATTTTTAAAAGTACCAAGTAATATACAAAAAAATAAATTAAATTAATTATAACTTAGTTTGAGGTTAGAGCACAATTCAAGTATATGAGCTATGAGGAGTTAAATACTGTTTCCTATTTATATATGCATATAGTATATATTAATTAATTTA